GCTTGCCGTGCCTTTGTTTTCACTCATTGCCAGAGCGTGTTAGAAGGAGGCGAGCACAAGAAGTCACAAGGGGTGGGTCCTGACGTCAGTGACTAACCCAGCCTTTGCCATCCCTCAACCCCTGTCCACTGGGCTGCTTCTTTTGTGAAAGGAGGAGGTCGACCAGATGGCTTCTGGGAATCTGCATAATGGACCCTCTGGATGGAGCAGGAAGTGGCTCATAGGCAGGTCATTAAGAGGCTTGGTGACTCAGCCTTAGGGACCGGAGGAAAACAAACTCCCCAAAGTCCTGGTCAAGTATCAGAGCTGCCAGACCAAGCTTCCGCTCAAGCCTTTATTTCCGTATCATCTTGTAAACTGGCCGCCTCTCCACTCGCCCCAGTGCTCAGTAGCCCTAGCTGGAGAGGAAGTCCAGTGGAGCCAGGGCCCCTGCTCTGCTCCAGCTCCAGCCACGCACAGGATGTGGAGTCCAGCAGACAGGATGACAGGAGCTAGCCCCAGGCCCTTGCTCACTAAGCATTCACACTGGACACTCAGGGGCAGTGCTTCTTAGCACTTTCCTTTGCCCTTAGTGGATAGATGTTCCTCGTCTTCTGTTTTATACATGGGGATGCTGAGAACCAGAATGGAGAATGGAGGACAAGGGACCACACTGGGAATCACACTGCTGTTTAGAAATTAGGAACCCTGTATCTGGACCAGCCAGGTTCCCAGTGATGATAATGTACTCCATCTCAGGGAAGCCATGCCCTGACAAGTTTCCACTAAGTTTTTATTTCCTGTGCAAGCGCATATCAGACTGCTTTGTTGGTGTGGTTGTGTTGCTTTGTTTTTGTCTTCTTTTTAAATAGTAGGAATGGAACCTAGGATCCTACACATGCTAGGCAAGTACTCTACCACCATGCTACATCTCCAGCCCTTTTTATTTTGAGACAAGGTCTCATCAGATTGCCCAGCCTGAGCACAAACTTGTAATCTCCCTGCCTCAGCCTCCCAAGTAGCTGAGATTACAGGTGTGCAGCACTGCGCCTAGGTCAGGCTGTTCTTAACTGGGATCATCTTTGTTTCTTAGTCCTTGGCCGAAAGCTACTGAGTACTGAGACCAGTGCTGTGTAGAAAACTAGAGCTAGGTCTCCGAGAAAAGAAAGCAACCCTTATTATCAGTTACAGTCTAAAGAGAAAGCAGAGCCATTGTGGAAGGCTAGGAAAATTTGGTTTTCCACTTCCTACCTACGGTCACATTGGTACTCATTTGGGAAAATCACTCACTTGTAAAGTTCACCACCCGTTAGTGAATGAGAGCTGCTCCACCAATTGGCGGGCTTGTGGGGAAAGCAGCGTAGAGGTTGGAGAAATGGGCCAGGTGCCCTCAACTTCTATTTCTGCTCCCCTCGCTCCCTTGCTGTGTGGCCCTGGGCGGTTCCCCTCACTTCATGGGGCCTTGCTTTCTGCAGGAAAATTTCCCACTCTTTCTGGGTGGGGGGATGTGATATGATCAAAGCAGCAGTGTTTGCAGAGCTTCTTAAAGGTGCCTAGATGCTGATCTAATAGGTATTAATTAATAAATCCTTTGATTATTGATAGAGTGGCACAGCTGAGCTTTTAATTAGCTCTTGGGTCTAATTGGCCCGGAGGAATTACACAGAGTCCTGAGGGAACTGGCCAAGTCGTGTGACGACCGCTCAGAGTGTGTGATGTGTCTTTATGTGGCGTCGCAGAGCACAAAGATGTCTCTCCTTGGTGGTGGGGATCCGATGGCTGTGCTGACAGCCCCGCTGGGGAGGGGGACACCGTGGAGTGGCACAGACAACATGGGGCCTCTGGGAAGCAGCCATCAGAGTGCACCTTCCTGGTGAGGAGAGGAAGGCGGGATCAGGAGCTGCTGTTTGTTGTTTGTTTAATGTTTTTGTCCTGCCAGCCTCAGGCCACAGTGTTCAGGAGCCCTAAGCTGCGGGGTACAGGGGCGCAGGGGCAGAAACGCCCCAAACCCTCCAGAGATAGCACAGTGCCACCATAGCAAGCGACATGGTGGCCAGACCCAGCTGCTCCTGCCCTCTCTGCCCCCGCTGCCTCCACAGTGCCGCCCAGCCCAGCCCCGACCCTGCGCTCAGTGAGGAGGAAGGATCATCACCCAGCGTCCCCACACGTGCATGTCTTCCTTAGTTCCTGTCCCTGCGCAGCAATCCAGGCCTGCAAAACTCCCCATTCACCTCGCTCCCACTTTCCCTCCCCCGTGTTTCAGACGGAAAATAGAAAGCAACAAGATCTGTGCTTAGAGCAGACTTGGAAGGGAATCCATTGTTCTGCACCCGGTTATAAAAGTCCACACACAGGACATCATCTCGAGGCCATGCCTGGGAGCCAGGGCTCCAGGGTTCACCCCCAGGAACTGCAGCCGGTGGCAGGAGCCTCCCCCGGGCAGCCACAGCGGCCTGAGTGAAGCCCACGGCAGCCCAGATGGTTTTGTTTGGGGCCTTTGGCAGACACGCGGATCTCCACGCCGAGCAGCATCAGGGACCACTTAGAGCAGAGGCGTGGTTTGTGTTTTACTTCACAAGGAGTGCGGCGGAGCAGGAGCTGCCAGGGAGCCTGGTGCTAAGTGGTTCTTTATCGGGCGGAGAGAAGGCCTCAGATCAAAAGCACACGAGGGGCTTTTCTCACACATGCTCACCCCAGGTGTGGCTCCCTCTCCTGGGAGCCGCTGGAGAGGCCAACCCCCCTGGGTCTGTCCATCAGACAGAGTGGACCCTTTACCCCCGTGCTGCCCAGCCCAGCCAGCGCCAGGGCGGGACTAACTATGGCGTCAGTAGGGCCAGCGCAAAATGGCACCACAGGGCCCCTAGATGAAAACATAACCAAATATCAAGATGGCTGCAGCAGAGCTTGTGGCCGCACATCCAAGGAGCCGGTCCCATCCGAGGCCCCACCTTGCCTGGTCAGGGAGAAGGAGAAAGAGAGCAAGGCTGGTAAATCTTTAGAATTACGCTGTTTCTAGCCAATGATTTTATTTTTCTAAACCCCACGTTAGGAAATTTAAAAATTGTTTTGGGTGCCCTGCAGTAACTCTCTTTTACTGGCCAAGATTTGGGAGAAGAAAGAACAATGACGACTCCTAGGCAGATCCGGGTTTGCTGAGTACTCACTCTGTGACAGTACCAGATGAAGGATCTACTAGGTGAAGCTCTGCTTTACAGGGGCCGTTGTCGCCCTTTTAGAGATGGGGGCAGCTGAAGCCAAAGGGAGTGCTGCACCTTGCCTAAGGTCCAGCAGCTTGGACACTTGGGAGCCTGGATTCAAACAGGTGAAGTCAGAGCCCAAAGCTTTGGTGCCTGGCCATGCTGCTGTAGGTGCTACCTGCAGGTTATGAGGCCAAATCATGGGTGCTGTCAGATCTGGTGTTTTTATGGCTGTGGTGAAGTTCAGGGGAAATCCGTACATATCTGACCCCCGGGGAGCAGAGAGGAGCTTTGGATGTTTTCACAGAGCAATTCAAAGTAGCAGAGCATCCCCCTCCAGGGAAGCTTGAGATCAGTTATGCACTTAAGTAGTAAAGGTCCTATAGAGGAGGAGGCAGCGCTGGCGTGGACACAAAGCTATCTGAGCCAGCTCAGGGCTGTAGATCAAGGATCTGCTGTCCTTGAACTTGAAAAAGTTCAGTTTCCATGAGCTCCAGAGTGAGATGTACTCTGAGCTGTGGACAAAAGAAGTAGCTGTGTAACAAGAGATAGTAGATGCCCTCCTTCCTATTACTTCTGCAGACAAAATGACTTTGAAAGTCCAGGAAAGAGACAGTGAAGCCCTTCTAGAAACCGGTTTTATTCCAGCCCAGTTTTACTTGGGCAACACATCCACTGGCCAGGCATTGACAAGCAGCATCCTGGGCCTGGGGAAAGGGGTTGACAGGACACAGGGAACTGACCCTCGAATCTTCAAGGTAGAGGGAGCACCAGCGGGGCAGAGAGGGCCAGGAGAAGAATGAGACTTTGAAAGCATATTCTGCAACTCAGTGGGGCAGAGAAAGGGGTTCCTGGGAGAAATCGCCATTTCCAGGAGGAAGACAAGAATAGGATTCGTATTCTGCTTTATTTCAGCCAAACGAACCCACATTCAGAGTGTGTGGAATGGGGTACACTATCCATCAATATAAACACAATCATATGTGCGCATAACTCTGTCCTCTTGGGACTCTTCCAGAGGGCTAAGTAACTTTCATTTTCACGCAGCAAAACAAGCCCCATCCCCACAAGGATGGGATGCAGCCCTGTTTCCCAGCCTCACAGTCAGATTCTCGACTTCGGGGTTCCCTGCTCCTGCTGTTGTGGGGAGGATCCCGGCCAGCCGAATTCCCACGCAGGACGCAGGACGCAGGCTTCTCTTTGTGCTGCAGGGAGAACGGTCCTGACAGGCTCACACTGTGATCCTGAGCTGCCTGCCCCGGACTGAGGTCCCGGCAGCCTCCGCCCTCCAGAGCTGCAGAGGCTCTTGCACATTAGCAGGCAGGAAGTGGAGTCCCGCTGGGAGGCTGGGAATTTGAACGCCTTCCCACTTCAGCACTGGAGGGGGAGGAAGCACAGGCAGCAGCCGCAGCAGCCACCACTCCCTTCTGAGCTCCCTGCTCCGCTCCCTCCCTCCCCCCCTCCCTCCCTCCTCGAAGCCCGCTCCCTCCCCTCCCCCTCCTTGGAGGGAAAAGTCTGCAGAGCTGGGAACTGTCTTGGAGAAGCCAACAAAGGCAAACCAAAGGGGAGCAACTCGGGAAGAACTTGTTCTGCTCCATTAAGAAACCTGCAGGAGAATCCACACCCACCGTGCCTGCTTTGGAGCCGAGGGCTGCTCTGGGGCGTGTGTGCGCGGCTGTGTCTGCGTGTGTTTCAACGCGCAAACATCTGCGCAGTCTGCTCTGATAAGGAAACTGCCCCCTGTCAAAAGTTAACCCGGAACGAAGGGACAGCAGCCAGCGAAGCCAGCACTCCTGAACTTAAACTGCACTGTTTTCTGTCCAGATATTCCAATGGAGACAGCTGGAAAACTTGTATTTCAGAGAGAAGAAGTTTTCCGTGGAAGTTCATGACCCCCGCAGGTGAGTGTGAGAAGGCCTTTGCTTACCTGCCTGGCCTATGATTTATAACCCGGTGTTTGTGCTGTCAGTGCTCAAGTTGTTTGGGGTAAGGGGAGAGGATGGGGAATCGTGGGAAAGACTTCAAATCAGACAGTAAAGCTTTGTTTTGTGTGTATGTGTTGGTGCGTGCTATGAGTCCAGCCGTGTGTGTGTGTGTGTGTGTGTGTGTGTGTGTGTGTGTGTGTGTACGCATGCCCTGGGGCACCAGAGCAAAACTTTGTTTGTGGCACTTTGTAACAAATGGTAGGTTAAATTGGACAGTGGCCTAGGTCCCTCTAGGAAGTTTTCTCAGAGTGAAGGGTGAAGCTTTTTTTCTTGTCAGAGCTCCTGAAAGACTCAAGCAGAACAGTCACACCAAAAAGAATCTGTCACCAAGGCAGTTGCGCCCGATTATTTTACTCCGGCAGCTGGGGTCTTAGGATGTCAGCCTTGGGAGTGGGTGTGAAAGAAATACAATCAGTTTCCCTTCCCCCACGTTGTACCCTGCAGCACGGGTAAAACTCCACGCTCTCAGTTAGATGCCGGGAACAAGGCCACCGGCCAGCACTGAGGGTCTGCAGCCCTGCCCCCTGCCGCTCCTCCTGGTCTGGCGCCATCCTTGCCCTTAAGTTGTAGCCTGCCGGGAAGCGCAGTAAATTTCCCTAACCTCAGCTTGACACCTCAAGGGAATTGCCTACCTTAGGCCTGAGAACAGGTTGGCAGCACCACAGCACCCTGAGAAGACGGAGGCCGTGAGGGGCCCTGGTGGACTTAGGTGCCACTGACACCCCGCCCTGGGCTTGGGAGGAAGTTGGCACCAAGCAACTTCTGAACAGAGGTGACCGACGCCTCCCAGGAGCTCTGACCCCAGTGAGAAGCCCAGGCTCGGGCATAGCCTCCCTCGCTGCAGCTCCAGATAACCCTGGGGCAGAGGCGCTCTGCCCTGGGCCCGTAATCTGCACAGCAACAGCCTCTGCTGGACCCGAGAGCCCATCCCTGACGCTCTGGAGCTTCGTGTCTTTGCAGTCAGGCGCAGAGGGTAGCGTGAGGCAGAAGGGTCGCTTGTCAGGTGGTGCTCAGGGCCCGAGCCCAGAGAGCCTCTGCAGAGGACCCATCTGCACGGCCATGGAGAGAGGGCCGAATGCCAGTAACAATAAGCCAGCCAAGGAGCCACGGTTATTTTCCCAGATGAGCTCTGTCGGACCAGACTGTCAGGCAGATGAGAGGAGAAACTTCCACGTAAAAAGAGTGAAGTGCGTTCTGGCCCAGTGGCTCAGCTGCAGAAGGGGTCGCTTGACAGAGCAAAAACTAAATTAAAGTTGGATCGTGGAAGGAGCACAGGAGCAAATAGACTCTCCCTGCCAGGTCTGCCGGGAGCTCCGCCACCCAGGCACCTTGGACAAATCCTTCAAGCGTGCATGTGGTGAGTGTGCGTGCGTGCGTGTGTGTGCGTGCGTGCGTGCGTGTTCGTGAGCCATGTGTTCCCTCTGCATCCATTACCCTATCAGTGATGTAATGCTAACTCTAGAGATATAGGAGGGGATCCAAACCTCACCCATGGTACCCGTAAGTGGGCTTTTAGCTTATTAAACAAAAGGGCTCGCTTGCATACAAGCTGAGAAACCGCTGTGTCCGCACCATGGTAGATGTGGTAGGGTACGGAGGGAAGGCTGAGGCGGGGTCCTCTTCCCTGCAGCACTTCTCTAAGATTTGGGGAGACCCGCAGAAGGGGGAATCGACCCGCAGAAGGGGGTCTTGCATGTGTAGTCAGTGTTCTGAACTCATTCTCTCACTGGGTCCTCACTGTGACCCCTCATTCCTGTTCCACATGTGGGAAACTGAGGCACAGAAGTGAGGGAGTGAGGGACCTAGGTTATAAAGCTAGTATGTGCTACAGGCAGGACTGGAACCCAGGGAGCCCAAGGCCAGCGCTCACACACTGTCCTGCACCCTGTGAACAGGGAGAGTACGCCAGGTGTGCCGGGTGTCTTCCCAGCAGCTGCACACAGTACCGGGTGCCCAAAGGCACAGACTGACACAGACACCAAAGTCCGCCTTGTCAGGAAAGGCCTCGGGGCAGGGGCCATCTGAGCTGAAATTCAGAGGATCCCTTGGGCACTCAGGGAGCCAAAGACGTCAGGTGGGTGGGTGCTCCTTAACCTGAGACAACCAGGTGAGAGAGGTGGAGCCCGCCTGGGCATAACCAGAGCCCCCCAGAAAGGGGCCCTGAGGACACCCTGTTGTCCTAGAGACGGGCAGGGCAGCAAGGAGAGAGCCCAGCGAGGGCAGAGGTAGAAGCCCACATTGACTGCCACTGGGAAGCCACCTTCCTGTCTCCCAAGGGAAGGGACTTTCTTCGGGTTGGCTGGTCAGGGGCAGAGCTGACCACTGCTAGGCCTTCCGACTCAGAGTTACCTTCTCATGGCTGGCCGGCACATTTTAAGTTGGATGTGTCATCCTACTGCTTGTTGCTTGCTTATCTGGAACAGGGAATGTTTGTCTGATCCACTGTACCTCGTGTGGTGTCCAGTATCAGCTGCTCCCCCGGCCAGGAAGGGAGTCACAGCCTAGTTATCAGGGTGGGGCGTGCCAGCTGCACTCAGGCCATGACAAGGACCTTGGTGGGAGGCTGTGGCAGCACTCAGCACCAACGGTGCTTTCCCAGTGGATCAAGATGGTGTAATCTCAACCCTCCCCTCTGGTCCTTCCGCCGGAGGACACAGGACATGCAGTGGACTTCGTCCTTTGCAAACCTAACTCCATACCTTCCTTTGTTTTTGCTATTCTGTTTCACCATTTCTGAGTCTCAGGGAAAATTGAACACTCGGTGGGGTGGGAGGGGCCCGGAGGGGGAGATGAGTAGAGGAGATAAAGTAATAATGGGCCGGGAGAAAAGCGGGAGAGTGTCTGATACAGATGCTCCCATGGAAATAACTCGCATCTCAGACGTGGTGAGTCACCTGGCTCTGGCTCACTCGCCTTACCTGAAAAACAGAAGCCGTAGCCTCTACAACCAGCGCAGCCGGTGCAGAGATATTCAAGTCTCCACTTCAGCTTTTCTGGGAAAAAAAACCACACACACATTTCTCCTAGGAGGAGCAACTGTCACGGAAGCCAGACTGAGCGCTCAGATCTCGGTTTCCTCTTAGGTCCATGGAGACCCGCGGTGGGGACCCACCTCGCTCCCTCTCTGCCACCTTTTCAGTTGCTGTCAGTGTGCTCTTTCGTGCTCTGGCATTTTTTTCCCTTAGTTTGAACCAAAGGAAGGAAAAACCTGCCGAGGGTCAGGTTTCTAACCACCAAATTTGAATTCTCCCTAAAGATGGGAGGCATGGCTTGAAGTTTTCTTCAAGGAAAAATTGGCTGGGGGAGGGAAAAGTGCTACTATTCACACGTCCTTAAAAACCCACTTTTCTTCCAAATTAGATATCTTAATCTTGAGAACACACATGTTCCTTCTGACACACAGGGCAGATGCCCCGCCCCCACCCCTCCGCTTCTCCCTCCCTCCCTCCCTCTCTCCCCGCCCCTTCTGGTTCTCCCCACCTCTGTCTCTCAGGCACACATGCAAACGCATGTTCTCAAAATTTATTTGTCCTCCTATTTAACCTGCCTATCCTATAAAACATACTTCAGTAAGTATCTAATCATGTAGCTCTTGTCCCCGCAAGCTCCATTAATGTGTGGATTCTGTTGAGACCGGGGCTTCCCATTTTCGTTTTTCGGCTCTGCCTCGCCGTCCTCCACACACGGGTTCTCCCTGTGCGCTGGCAAGTGTTGTGCACAGGTTGGCAGGCCGGCTGCCTCCCTTCTCTCTGCCCCCTCCCGATCCACTGTGGCCTCCCTGCTGTCTGAGCATATTTGAATTGGTACCCAGACCTTTCAAGGAATGTGCAGTTACAGCGATGTGGCCAGTGGCGGTGAAGACCGGATGTGCTCATCTTCACCGTAGAAGGTGTTGCCTGGTGCATAAAGAGCGCTGTTGCAGGCTTTTCTGCTCTCTGAAGTTTGTCTTGGCTCTGTTCCTGAGCTGAAGGTTCGAAGGACCACCCAGTAACCTAGGGTGACCCGGCTTACAAAGCAGAGGCCGGCCTTATTTTGACTCCTGGGCAGTCAGTTTCTGTGTGCGCGCATGGGCACCGTGTGCACACTTACGTTTGTGCGTGAGCATATCCGCCCCCTTCATGCCGGGTAGTGGGCCCAGTGGGTTCTCCCTAAAAGCTGTTGACTGATAAATGGCTCCTTCCCTCATAAATGAGATAGAAACCTGCAGTTCTTGCTCTGCCAGGGCCTCCGTGACCAGGAGGACGTTCGGGCACAGTGGCATCGCGGTGCACACGTGGTACGCGTGTCCAGCGTTGATCAAGTCCATCTGGGCTATGGCTATCAGCCAACACCAGTTCTACCTGGACAGAAAGCAGAGCAAGGTAAGGAAGCCAACCCTGCCCCCGGGCTGGGAGCCGGCCTCGGGGCAGGAGTTTAGGGATGGGAACTGGGTGGCTGGGGAGGTGCCGAGTCCTTGGCCCGAGAGTCACACAGGTGCAGACTTGCCTCTTCGGCTACAAGTGGGAGGAGCAGGCCAGGTCTTTCTGGGCACACGTTCCTCCAACTCGCCAGGAGCCCCGGTGCCACTGCAACCGGGCAGCGCCCTCCGGAGGGTGCTAAACATGTGGGGACCTCAGGGGACAGCTGGGGGCAAGTAGCCCTCCCCCGGGGTGTTTAAATAGTGGCATCTTGTTTTCTTTTCAGAGAAAAAAAATAGTAACTGTTCTCCACTAGTAGACACCACCTAACTGTGTAGGGTGATCGCTGTGGAAGCCCTCCAGGCTTCTCTAACCGCCAGCTTCATCTTTACAAATGCAAAACCGGAAAAGTGAAAAGTAGGAAGAGAGCCGCAGCCCTGTTTCCCTGAGGTAGACTGGAGCCTGGGGCGCTGTAAGCAGTCCTGGGAGGTTTCACGCACCCTAGCCCGGACTCTGGCTTTCTGGTGGGTGGGAGGATGACGTGGTTTTGGTTCACACGCTCCTGTCAACAGACGGCCCCCTCTTCCTCCCTCCCTGCGTCCCCCCAGGCCACTCCCATTCATTATGCTCAGGTGCAAGGCTCTGCCAAGGTGGCCCCAGCGTCCTGCTGGCCTGGGTTGTGCCTTGGGCCCTGGACCAGTGGGTCCAGGCCCATGAGGGTCCTTTCCCGCTGTCTGTGTGAGTCCTCCAGGGAGGACCTGGCTCCCCTGGGCCCTCGGGAGCTCTTGCTTTTTTGCCTCGTTTCCCTTTTGTGTGTGGTTTCGCATTTCTTGGACAAGGAGTTGGGGTCAGTGGGAGGTAAGAAAAACAGTAGAAAATGACAGGAAGACCTGAAGCCACCCCTTCAGTCCAAGTTCAGCTCTCAAGCAGGGCCATCCCCTGTGGCCCCACTCTCCTCTGGCAAGCATTGGCTTCCTTTCCTTGCTCTTCCTGACCCCCTTCTGGTCCCTTTCTGGTGTGACCGAGCTCACAGGTAGTCTTTTCGTGGTTGGGAATCGTGAGAGTATTCCTCGGCTGTCCTGGCGATGATGGGCCTTGGCACCAGAATCTGCAGCTCAATTACATCAAAAGAAACTGGGCCAAAGGGATCTGACTCACGCTGCAGGCTGAGGCAGGGGCAGAGCCAGAGCTCTACTCTCCGGTGGCAGGAATGGGAGGTCCGCAGCCTCACACATTGATTTCACCCTCTGCTAGGCAGCGAGGGGTGGTGAGGGATAGAGGGCTGGGCAGTTCCCCTGAACTCTGCTGCCAGTTCCTGCTCTGGGCAGACCCCCCATATACCGATACCACAGCCTGGAGAGGGAGCCAGAAACAGCACATTTCCCAGAAGGATGGTGTCCCACCGGCTGTGTGACGTCCCCCAGCCCGCGCTGGTTTCCTGCCTTGAGGTTCCCAGATATCTCAAGTGACCTTGTGTCAAGTTCTCAGCCACACGCTCCAAAGTGGCCCTACTGTGCGCTTGGAAAACCTCACTCAGCAGTCTCCCATCCCAGCCCCCGATACTGCAAGGGACCCTCAGAGAGAAATGATCCCAGGTCACTTATTAAAGAGAGGTGTCTTTTAAGAGCCAAATCCAAATGCTACAGCTCTCGAGAGAGCTCTGCTGTCCCTTTCAGTAATCCTGGAGGACAAAGAAAATGCCCACATTCCTGGGAGGAGAATTTTTCCCCAAGAAGTTTTGCAGGCTCATGAATGTTGTTGCACTTCGGCTGGGAACCAATTCTGTGTCTCCCAGAGATGAGTGAGAACCAAGTTCGCCTACTAAGAAGTTTGAGGACTGGGTTTCCCAGCCCCGTGACCTTGGGCAGGCCTTCCCTCACACATGCTTTGCTTTCTTAATTAGAAAAGAGAAAAGGAAATTCCTGACCTAAATTAGTAATTGGTCAGAAATCCAATGTTTGTGAAATTGCTTTAGGAAATATGTGCTGGCTTTTATTAACATCACCATGAATCTAAAATTTGGTGCCCTGGCCAATGCTTGAATCAAGTTGAAGTTCTCTAAAAAAGCCCCTACGTTAAATGAGGGATGAGGAAATTCCTGGTAGGAAATAACATTACACCACCTTTCGTTTCTGGAAGGTCACTCTGTGTAGAACAGTGGTGTGACCCATGGGTGGGCAGCACGGCCTGGGGGTGAGTGAGGGCCAACAGGCCGGGGGTGAAGTGCTGAAATGCTGCGCATATTTCTGGACAGCCGTGTGGGCTGGCATCCTGGCATGGCTTCACGCTCTACTGTGTGGGGCTGTGCCAGCCATTCCTTTTTCTAAAGTGCTTCAGCAAAGCCCAGGCCTCCCGAGTGATGCTTATCAGCCCCAGAGAGACAAGTGTGGTCTAGTGTTTGAGTCAGCCAGGAGGGCAGCCAAGTGGTCTCCTGTGCTTCCCCCAGGACCCCATTCAGTATCAGCTCTGCACACGCGTGTGTGAGGGGACCCTCGCACCAGCAGCAGCGGATGGGGGAGGCTGTGCTGGTTGGGTCCCAGGGCTCCTTCAGTATAAGAAGCGAGGTGGGCGGGCCCTAGTTACCATTCTAACTCAGATGTGCTGACCCCAAAGGTCAGAAGTGCTGTCAGCGGGATCCCAGCAACCTCTGCAGCCCAGAGCCAAGCCGTGTCTTGTGGACTCGGGAGGGAGAAATCGGAAGGGTTACACCGTGTAAGACACATCAGACGCTTTTCCTCCGAACTCGGACCGGGGCCTTCTGGAATTGGCCCCTGACGAAACATCTTTTCTCCCTCCTAGTCTTTTCTTTTCTTCCCCTTTCCTGATCGAGTCTGCTCTTCTTTATCCCATTTGGAACCAAAAGGATTCAGCAGAGTAGGGAAAATTAAAACCCTGCCCACAGCACACCAGTAACAAAACTGGGTAACGCTTATAGGGCAGAACACCCAGAGCGAGCTGGCGGCGGGACGCTCGAGAACTCTTCGGGGCTGGCCCAGAGATGGACTGGAGGGGAGGGCCCCCCACCGCGGTCATCTCCCTGTAGTTCTCTCCTCACTGAGTCTGTGGGGTCACTGTGATAGTTCCAGAGAGTCCAGAAAGTCCTAAGGCTCCTAAGAATCGAGTCTCCCTGAGAGGACATCTGCCACTGCCTGGTCCATGGTTTCATTTTCAGCCTAGGAGACTGATGTGTGGCAGGAGAGGCAGGCTCCGTTAGGGACAGCTTTCCATGTAATTAACGAGAGCCCTGAAACACCAGGCCGAGCTGTCGGTCTACCCAGGTTCTCATTGATATCCTACTGCGTTGCAATGGCCTGGACATACACTGTGTGATGTGGTCCTGACCTTGCCTCTGCCCTTGCACTCTGGGGTCTCCGTGCTCCACACAGGAGTCTGAGGATCAGAGAGGTCACCAGTGATCGATTAGAAGAGGCGGGATTAGGTCTTTAGGACTTTCGCACATGGGCCTTCCCGGCAGCGCTGTGCTGACCTAGACCTTCAGAGTTATCACTCCACAGCTGTTCTAAGTGTGGGCTCCTTTTGTGAAGCTTGGGTCTTGGTGAAAGGGCAGGGCAGGAGGACAGGAAGCGATGGCTTGTGCTCGCTGGGTTCGCTTGGAAGATGAAGCCCAGCCAGATGGGTGCTGTTGATATGCTGGTCGGATCGAGACAGAAGGCTTTTCCTGCCTCTGGGGCAAACCAGAGCTCAGCAAGGGCTGGCAGCTGGGACTGCTTTGTACACAGGGCGCCCTCAGGTGAGGAATCAGCCAAGCTCTCAGCGCACAGAAAAAAGTCGAGGTTAGAAAGGACAAACAAATCAGAGAGGAACAATGGGAGAGAGAGAAGGAAGACAGTTCACACCAAGGGAGCAGAACAAGCAGAGGGCCTCAGCACTTCCTCTGGCCCGAAGAAGTTCATCTTGTTAACAGGAAAGCACGGGGAGACCGGAAGTTGTTATCTTTCACCAGTGCAGTCAACAACATCGAGGCCAGAGGAAGGGCAAGGCCTCGGGGGCACAGACAGCCGCTGCTGGACAGACGAGGGTCTGGGCTGGCACCAGGCAATGAGAGGACAGCAGATCAGGGTGAGGAGGCCGTGGTACGCATACCCCTCTATGTGCGGTCTCGCAGACCTGCCTGGTACCTGTGATGCGGTCACACGCCGGCCAGGTGGGAGCAAGGCCCTGAGCAGCTGGAAACCTGGGCTGTGAACCTCACCTGGTTCCTTTCTGATGTGCTCCAGCCCCTGGCCACAGACAGGAGGCAGACAAGCAAGTGTGTAGGTTATACCATCATGTACAGTTGCTCTCATGACATTCATAGTGGAGCAAAACCTGATTGCATGAAGAAACAAATAAAAAGCAAACTGCCAAACAACAACATGTATAGGATTTGCAAACACATTTACACTTCGGAAATTGGTAACTAAAGCAGACTGCGTTCTCACTGGCAGCCACTTTTGGAAATGTAATCGTGAGCACGGAAACCTTTCCTAATTATTCTCAGCATTGTCACTGTCAGCCCAGTGGGGCCAAACAATATGTAGACTAAGTAAAGTGGAGTTTGAACTATAACATGACAACTCTGGAATATGTATTTAGACATCCAAGTAGAAGCAAAGCACTGTGAACTGCTCTTGGGGGTTCCCAAGAGTCTTAGTCACTTTTGCTGGGACTCAATACCTGACACCCACAATTAAAGGAGGAGAGGTTCCTTTTAGTCCACAGTTGGCTGGTTCTGAGGCAGAAAGGAAGGATGGAAGGAAGGGCTGGGTGAGGGTGGTTGCTCCTGCCACGGCATCCCAGAAGACACTGGGGAGGACCCAGAAGGAAGATGTAACCTCCAGGGCATGCTCACCGAGACCCGCCCTTCCCACAGCCCCGCCTCCTCACAGCGGGCCAGCTACAGCTCCTCAGGATCCAGGCACCTTCCACAGGTCCCACCTGCGATCCCAGGAGGCTTAAGGGGGACATCCAGACATAAACCATAGCCACGTGAGTTGCTATCACTCACACTGTGGTTGCGGGTCTAGGCTGGTGACACGTCATCATCTAAATGTCTTTACAGTCGCATGATTACAACCGGTAAGGCGCTAGTCATTACCAAATTTACTGGGATTTCATGATGTTGTTTACATATGTCATTCAGAAAGTTGGAAATTATTTTTTTCTTTATTTTAGCAAAGCGTAGTTGTAGCCACACCTCTTAACTGGTTGCTGTGTGTCCAGAAGACAAGAAAGGAGAGAGGAGGAGTGGGCGGGATGGGGGCGGGGCTGCGGCGTCCTCCCTTGTCACACTTGGGAAGAGGAGGCTCAGTGAGATGGATGCACTTCCCCGGAATGCAGACCCCGAACCCCCGGCTGCCAGATCCTTTAAGGACTGTGTAGCCTCTAGCCACCTCCGTTCCTTCTGGGAGTTTTGGTGACTAGCAGTTGGGTTGAGGGACACGGCCGCAGGCTTGGGGAGGAGCTAATTTGCTGACTTCGGGGGACTTGGAGCAGGTGGGGTTTCCGCTCCTTCTGTGAGGTGAGTGTGCCCTCTGACCTGCCGGCCTTTTCCTTCCAGTCCAAGATTCATGCAGCCCGAAGTCTGAGCGAGATCGCCATCGACCTGACCGAGACCGGGACGCTGAAGACCTCCAAGCTGGCCAACATGGGGAGCAAGGGCAAGATCATCAGTGGCAGCAGTGGCAGCCTGCTGTCCTCAGGTAGGGCTGGCTGCGAGCACAAGCGGGGGCTCGTGGACACCTCTAGGGCAGACGCCAGCAAGGGGGACAGCCATGGCATAGGAGTCTACTTTGCATGCTCACCTGCTAGCTCTATTCCAGACCGAGGTTCGGGGCCTAAGGGGAATCTGAAAAAAATGTTCAGAAGTACCCAAGGGGTCGGGGAGAACCCAGGACACCTGCATGATGTAGCACAAACTGATCACACACACATCTCACTGGGTACCCCGAGCCCTTTGCAACACTGACTGTCGTAATGGTGACCACCAGGAATGTCAACTCCGAGGGCAGAAAGTAGGATGGGCCTGTATGTCCCCGAGGCAGGATTACAGGAGGAGGGGCTGGCATTCGGTTACGGTGCTGAGACACCACACGCTTTTCCTGCTGCATTTCTCGGGGCTCAAAAAGGTATGGACTACTCTTTCTCAAGTAGGAAAGGGGATGCTGTCACAGCGGTGACAGTGACAAGTGCCTGTTGTCACCAAGAGTCAGGAGATGCGGCCTGTGTTATTTCTGTGCACCTTGAGCGGGTCCTTCGGCCATGCAATGTTGGGAGGAGCGGGGCACTCTGAGATTTCTGGTCTGGATGGCTGCACGAGCAGTGATGCCCTTTGCTGGACGACAGGGGCGGGAGAGGTGGAGGAAGGGGAGGGGGAGGCAGCGGCTGGAAATGTGAGAGAAGGTCACTCCCGAGGCCTCGGAGCTGAAGCCTGGCTCACTGGGTGTGGGATGTGCATCCTTTGCCTCTGAGCCAGGAAAACAAAGCAAGAAGTCTTCACCCTGCCTGGCCTTCTGGGTCATTTCTATAATTATATATCGTGTCTGCAGGCAACAGCAACAAATTCAAAAGAGGAAACAGAGAAACGAGGAAGGGGAGCAAAACACTGTCTCGTTGATTCCTGGACTGGTGTCCTCAGTCACTGCCAGGAAAAAGTTTAAATGAAAAGAGCTGGGGGAAGGATGTGTGCACTTCCCAGAGAGAGGCGGAGGGAGGCTGCGCTCGGAGGCCGCGGCCCTCCAGCCCCGGCAGCGTGCTCACACACTCGTGTGTTGCATATTGTACATATTGTTTGTCCTACATGGAGCCACCAAGATTATTTGAGCTTTGGGCCCCATTAAAAAAAAAAAAAATGGGGCCAAATGATCATTCTTTCTGAGACCTGGAGATTTTCAAGAAGACTACAGAGAATGTTGTCCCTTGTATCAAAGAGAAAGCCTTTCAAAGTTAAACCCCTGCCTGGAATTACAGCCACTCCCAGACTCCTGATGAATGCCAAAGGGCACAGCCAAAGCCAACACCTTGTTTGTCTTTTAGACAACGTACAATACTCTTTCCTAAACCCTGCGAAACCCAGAGGCTCAGATTCCAGTTTAGATGGGTCAGCTCGCTGCCTCCACATCCAGTCCCAGGAATCCAGCCCCACAGCTGGGGTTCTTCCAGCTCAGGGGTTCCTAGACGTGCGTCTGAGCTGCTGGGAGAGTGCATGGACACACAGAATGCTGCCCCGCCCCCGAGATTCTGTAGGTCAGAGTAGGCCAGAAACGAGTTTGCATCTCCAACAAGTGCTCAGGCGGCGCCTGCTGGTCTACCTGACAGCCACTCTTCTTGCTGAGGAAGGGACAGAGCTTCAAGTCACAAACCCAGATGTCCCCAGCCAAGCCTGCACTCTGGGCCTTCTGCCCATGAGGCTACCACCAGGGGCCCCAAAGCGTCACTTAGCAGCAGCTTGGATGAGGTTGTGAACAGGAGCCCCACCCGCTCCTGAATGAAACTGATGTCATTAGGCCCGATGCCCAAGCACCTGTAAGATTAGCAGGCAGCCAGTCCCTATCACTGCCATCCGGTGGACACTACTAGAAATAAAGCCACAGCAAAATCATTCTGCCAAATCCACTCCTAAACCTAATATATACCCAGCGTGATCGAAAAATACGGTAGATGTTTAAACTTTTAAAACAATGTATTACGGTAAAAAGACACATTGCCATTAATCTCCCCCACTTTGAACACACTCATGCCATCATTTTGCCACTTTCTGAAGCTCTTGTGGAAGTCCTCTTAAATGGGTGTCTTTGGCTGGCTTCCTCAAGGTCCTGAATCAATTCAAAACCGTTACCTCTCATGGTTGTTATTTTGACTTCAGGGAAAAGCCGGAAGTCACAGTGCCAGATCCGATAAATAAGGTGGATGAGGACACAGCACCGTGTTTTTGCAAGCCTGTCTTTCTTTTGGATGGCGCTCAGCAGCAGCGTTCATTATATTTTCATCACACCCTGTAAAGACACTCATGAAAGAGGACTCCCAGAGCTGCTTCAGAAAGTGGCAGGATGAGGCGATAAGTGTGTTTCGAGCAAGGAGGAAGCATTTTGAGGAGGACTGATGGCACTGTGTCTTTTACTGTGATAAATATTTTTTTCAACATTTGCTATATATTTTGCTCACCCCTCGTAAGCGTCTTTCTCCCAAGATACCAAAGCTATTTTCAGGTGTTCAGTAATTTAGTAGTGGGGCCCTAAAGGGTGGTTAGAGTTGGTGAAGCGGCTTAGGCTGCAGCAGAATTGACTCCAGCTGTGGGTTTCGCCCCTTAGCCCTTGCTGCTGCTGCTCAGCTAGGCGAGAGGAAACATGGGGTGAGGAGAAGGCCCCAGGACTAGACCAGGGAACAGGGCAACCTCTTCGGAGCTCTGCAGGCTCAAGCCTGGAAAACATCTTTGAGTGCCAAGACTGAGGCTCCTGGGGATGCCCCACGCCCACACTCTGACTGAACAGAGCAGACAATGGAGGGAGGGGCCGAAGCAGGAAGCCTTCCACCCCGGCACAGAGGGGATTTCTAGGAGAGCTGTCCTCCCTCCCGAGGGGGCTCCTGCCTGCTGCCCCTCACTCTTTCCAGGCCTGGGAGGAGGACGCCTGGGCCTGGGGAGAACCCCGGGCCGCCCCGCCTGGGAAGGGTCCACTGCACATCCCCTACAAGGGAAACCTAGCCCCCCGCCTGAGAGTTGTGGCAGCTGGCTTGTGTCTCTCCCCTTGCTTTCTGTCCTTCCTGTCCCCTTGCCGTGTGCTCCCACAGATAGGACACCCCCACGCCTTCACAGGACAACCCTGCTTTTAAATACTCTGTTATGGATGCCTGACCTTGAATTCAAACTCCAGCTCAGAAATGTAACATAGACAACCCAATATCTGATTCCCTTCCCATTCTTATTCAGTGGTGTCTGACAAAAGTTCCTAAAAGCAGGGAGAGCCTCCCTCATCACCACTGAAAATCCTCCTCCTTAACCCTGCTAGGTGCTCACAACATAGTTATGAACTGACGGTGGAAACACAGTGATAGCAAGTCCCACATGTGCTACACCCCAGCATGCTGGGAGGCTGAGGCAGGAAGACCCAACTTCAAGCCCAGCCTGGGCAACTTGGCAACTGAGTGAGAGCCTTTCTCCAAATATGGTAAAAAACTGCTGGGGATGTAGCTCAGTGTGAAGACCCTGAGTTCAATCAATCAATCAATCAGTTGACAGAGTCCTTCACGTTCCCAGCTGTGTGGCACCCTTGGGCTCTCTCAGAGCCCTCCCCACACTGCACTGTGAGCCCCAGTCACGCTGGCGTTAGACTGTCCCAGTCACTCGTGTCCAGTTAGACTCCTGCTGCAGCCATCCCTGTCCCTGTCCTTCATTCATCCTTCTGCCCTCCTATGTACCATAACTGACCCTGTGACAGCCCTGTAATAGCTCCAAGATATAAACATTGTTTTCTTTGTTTTTATCATTTCTTGTTTTTTAACCAGGTATGTGGGTACCTGCCTATAACCACAGCTACTTGGGAAGCTGACACAGAAGGATGACAAGTTCAAGTCCAGGCAATTAGTAAGACCCTGTTGCAAAATAAAAAATAAGAGCGGGATGTATAGCTCATGGTAGAAGGCTTGCCAAGCGTGTGCAAGGCCCCAGGCTTCCATCCCCACACCTTAAAAAAAAAAATTAAAAAAAACATTTTTTCTAACTCCCAAAATGCTAGGTCTGCCTGTGACATTGAAAAAGTTAGAACCCCTCTCTGCAAAGTTTGCATACTGTTTATTAATGCAACACAGAGATAAATTATTTCTATGCTATTAGTAACGCTGAAGGCACTTTTCCTATTTAGGAGCATGTGATTACAGGGAAATCCTCTTCTTGATGTCTGAGACCTCAGATGCTACAGAAGTGAAGAAATGTCACTGACGTCTATTAAAGACGTCAGAGGTCCATGCTTTCTAATGTCCTGAACCAGGGGCTAGCATTTCAAAACTAAAACAGAATAGAGAAATCAGGCTGGGGCCTGCACCCTGCTGGTGGAGACTCCTAGGTGGCGTCCATCCCAGAGGGAGCCGCAGGTTGTGTGGGCTCAATCCTTCGGGCCGTAAACCTGATGGGCCACTGGAGAGGGACAAAGCAGGGGGCATTTCACCTGCTGGGTTCTGTAGGAGCCCAGATACGGCTCTGCACTTGGAGGCTCCTCTACCCATCGCGTTCGTGCATACAGCCTCCGCTGACACATTTTAAAAGGCTCAGGAATGGCTATGACTTCACACCGTTTGGTTAAGATGTTTCCAGGGTTGTTTTTATGAAAGGAGCTCAGAATCTGTTCTGTGGGACCTTCAAAGTGTTTATTCCTCCTTCCCCTTTCTACTGCTTGAAATCCCAGAAAAGATTGGAAGGGTAGGGGAGGGGAGGAAATAACAAAACAAAAACTACCCACCACCGCGTTTGTCTTCGTAGCCGACGAGCCTGGCCTTTAGCTTGTCTGAAAGCAGAGGTCTGAGGTCTGCGCTAAGCCTCCTTCCAGGGATCTGCATCACAGAACCTCTACCCCTCAGTGCCAGCACAAGGGCTGGGGGAGACTTTCACTATCAAGCTATTTAAGGAAAATGAGCGCCGCCCCCGACAAAGTACCAGAGCTCTACAGGGCCAGATGACTTGTTGTGTTCCCACCCAAACAAAATGTGTAAT